GTTTTGCATTTTGAATAATATTGTTTTCACAATCAATTTGAATCTTATTATGTTGACTTATTGATTTAAGAAATTTGGACTTTAATGCATTTTGTAACTTTACTTATATAAGTAAACAATGTTTTTTAAAGATCATGTATGTTGAAATTCAGGTTGTATACCACACTTAAATGAAATTTATAATACATGTATGTATATAATTATGCTTATAAAACAATTTCCAAACATCTAAGAATATGTAAAATATGTACTGCAAATATTTGTACACATTTAATGTAATCATTAAAATATATGCAATTATTTCTTATTGAAAAATTTGACTTAGATTTTATAGAAAATAAATCTCTCATTACCTCCCTTTATTGGCATGAAATGTTAAATTCGGTAATATCTTTATGAATAAGTAATGCTTTTTTTTGAACTTACAATATTGATAAATCTAAATTTGAGCACCATATTTATGATATAAAAATGTGTTACAGGATCTTTAAGGAATTTGTATTTTATTTCTTAATGGATAGATCATGTCCTATTTTTTATTACTGTAAAATGTAAAACCGTCGTATAACAATAAATTTACTTGAATCAAGATTGCTTGGTTTTTTTTATGTCGCACTATCACAGTAATAGTTATATAGCAGCTTTCAATTTTTACTAGTGAAAGAATACCTCTGGTGCCCTCTGTGCATTACTTCAAACACATACTCGTGCCTGAGCAGAACCACCGCGATTCTAATCCACATTCCATTCGCGAATGGTTCGAAGCCAAAGACCTAACCCACACAGCGGCTACGGACGAACCTAAGCTTCGCGTATGTTTCTTATAACGTATACTTATTGAGGGCAATAATATATGTACTGACTGAAAAGCGTACAATGGCAGCCATGATCAGTCAGCATAGATAGCATTTGAAGCCCTTAGCACACTATTGGTTACATGGAGATAACTTGGCCACATCGTAGCACGAATACTTGATTGGTCTAAGAAATGGTTAGTAATAACTTGAAAATACGTTAAACTACCTGCACTCTTTAACAAGCATTCCTTCCTGAGTAAACACTTTTCATGAAATCTTAGATAGTTTTCAGAGCCCTCGAAAAAAACAACAACAAAAAATAACAACAACATATTTATGAGGTATGCTATGCTAAAGGCTAACGACAATGTCATTCGCTCGGTGCACCAAGTTTTGTCTTGATTAGTTACAATCATTTACATAATCTCATTTAATCGTACACCAACGAAATTACTTATGAGTTTATGCTACCGCTGCATCATTGTAATAACAGAATAACGTGTGAAAACATGAACTAAAATATATAAATGTCTGAATATTGTTGTAAACAGCGTAAAAAGTATTAGAAGAACTTGATTTTTTACACAGAAAACAAATCATTAACATTACTAACTAAAATTCATTTTGTAAGATTAAATAGCATTTGTATTGATTTTTATAATTGTGATGTTTATCAGAGACCTATATAACTGTTATTTATGTCTCTGTGTTTATCAATTAATACTACTTACAAAAAAATTCAACTCCCAAACATTATTGCTCGTCATAGTGATGAATGACAGAAACATATATATGGATTATATTATCATACTTACCGGATATATTAATATATATGCGCTAGGAATTGCGCTCATTACAGATACCTTACCAACGCACATGTCATGTTCTATTCAGATTAAGTACTATTGTACATTATTCCGAATGTTTTGCAAATCATTTGTTGCATAATTATACTTATCGTATACAATGTCCATTAGAGAGGGGACAGATATCAAATTTTCAAACAAATATGCTTTCACTGATGCCCACCTGGTAAGGCAAGTAATTCCATTGAATACAAACAAGACTAACAAGACTTGTAAATGTAATGTGTCATGACAGTAGTGCAACAGTGTCCCTATTGCATAAAATATCAAAGCATGTTCATTTTCTTTTTCACCTATAATCCTACTCATTTTCTACAAATATCTACAACTAATCATGGTAAGAAGTATAAAAATCCATATGTAAATAAGCCAAAACAAAAACTTTCACGGACTTTACTTCTCAAAATGTCCTTTGCATGTTTTGCGGCAAGTGGTATGTCATGATGTAACAAGCATCGGTGCTGATGCAAAGCATCATAGGGCGTCCAAGCAAGAAATGCAGCAAATGACGATGAACAAGTAGACATCTGATTACTAGATATTCTTATAACTTATGTGTTCAGTGGTTAATTAGATTTTACCAGAATGTATATCATAGATAAATGAAGGACAAAAGACATTGTTCATCATGAACTTTAGTAGTTTTGCTAGAGACTAGAATATTAAATGTAATTTCTTTGGAACATACAATAGTCAAAATGAACAAAGTCGGTTTTTTCATTCATTATTTTAATTGTTATAGTAACAAAAGGGACTAATAATATAACATGCATTGTTTTCATGTCAAATTAAAAATGGTTTCTTTTTATACCTTGGATTTAAGATTTCAAGTCCCAGATAACATCTCACGTTCAAACTGCATACGAAAGTTTCTGTTGTTAAAATGTCACAGTATTCGGCAAATCAATATTCCACTAAAAACCACCATAAAACCGATTGCCTTCAATCAAAATAGAATCAACTTCTTACAGACAAATTCCGAGAAATAAGGGTCGGTTTAAATATTCACAGTAACAAATGTCGGACAACAATCAGGGCCGTAAAAAAGAAAGGATCTATATACCGGAAAGAACGAATGACCATTTCATTAAGACTAAAACTACTTCTATAAATACATTTTCGGACTTTTACAATGTTATGGTCATCTAGCTATTTATAGCTTTCGAATTCATGTACAATTTGTTCCCGTGCTCATTTATTAATAAGACATTCTGCGAATCACCGAAGGGGAAACAATATATGACTTTACATGATAGAAATCGGAAGGAGTTCTTGAATCCGAATTTATTTATACCTGTAAATCGAAGGGATTAATTGATAAAAATCGGACCCATGGACAAAAAATAGTAAATACAAATAGCAATGAATATTATATTTATCAAGTATATTAGTATACCATCAAGAATAGTAACATTTTCTTTTAGATAATAATATTCTGTACAAATTTATAACATTTATAATGGTTAGTGATTAACACCATGTTAAAATTTCTCTAAACAAAAATGTGACTTTAAATGTATTACTTTCCAGCGGTCAACTCGAAAAATCGCCGCCATGATAAACATTAATTGTACCTCACACTATCGACAGACCTTTTAGCACCCTTATTTAATATTATATATTTTTCTTTACAAAATAATTACGTATATTTTACATATTAAAGAAGAAAAAACAAATAAGCTTTAATTCAAACCTCGTTTAGTTTGCATAGTGGTCGTGAACATAACAAAGTTACATAATGCAACTTGAAATGACAAGTATGTCATTAAATATTAAAAACATATTTACAAAAATCGTATCAATAATTCTTACCACAAGGAAATTATTTCGTAAAATGCATGTCATGTCCGAAAAACAATCATTGAACAATTTGTCTTATCGTCGATTTAAATTCCTCACCTCAAAGGCGTTTGCTATATTGTAAACATAAAAAAATAGTTATGGCAATAAAAATAAATTCTATCACAGGGAAATTATTTAGTACACTGCATGCCATGTCCGAAAGATACAATAATTGAACGGTTGTCATATCGTTGTTTTTATTTCTTGCCGATTTACAATAATTCTTTACCTACAAAATGTAATATCAAAATCCCACAAGTTGCAATTGGTAGATATGACGTGCCCTTAAATATTTGATGAGAATGTCAACTTTGTTTCAACAATACTTTTTACGCTTCTGTTGTATGGTTATTATATTGCCTATGTATGTTCACGACCACTATGACACCAAAACGCGTAACGGTTTAAATTTAATATAAATAATATATGAAGTGTGGTACCATACATAAGCAGGAAACCTCTGCAGATAAGTCTATCATATGTACATGTCAGGGTATATAGGTCTATCAATTCCTTTCGAAACATTGGTTCAAACCTTCATTCAAGTACTAATAATTGCTATTTCTTTTAGAATTTATATGGCCTGAGATAATCACTAACGTAACCTTTGAACTTTAAACTGAAAGTCCTGCTTTGCAAAGTAAGTATTTCAAATTGATGTATTTTCGCGATTAAGGTATAAACAGTTTATGTCGTATTTATATAAATGTAGGTATTGTAACAAAGATTATTTTACTTTTTGAAACTATGATTGTGTATGTAGCAAGTACATTTTTAAGAAACACAACCAAAAGCAAATTTGCAGATCTGTACTTTATTTCAAACTAGGTATAAAAAGACGGTAGAATTATTAGTTTTAAGAAAATACAGGACACCGAATCAATGATATGGCAAATATATAAAAATGTGAATCAAAACCTAAATCATTATATTCCGTTTGCTTATCAAAAATGTTGTTCTATCATTTTATCATATTAAGCAATAAAATAACCATGCTGTCTTGATTAATAACACCGATGTAAAAAGTTTCATAATAATTACATTAAAATTGACTTTTTTATATAGCTCTGCTAATAATTACATTTTACCACTGCCTATTAATGGTCACATATTTCGTGTACATGCATCACAGTTTAGTGAGAGAGATTTTGACTTACACAAGTGTGTAAAAAACTAGAAAAAAAAATGTTTCAAAAGTTTGTGCTGTATCAAAAAGACAATTGGAGATATCGTTTTTTCCCAAAAACCCAAAGATTGTATAAAAAATTTTTACTGAAAATTAAAGTTAAAAAGTAGATTTTTTTTGAAAAAAACCCAAAAATATCAGATATAATATTTAAAAATTTGAAAGGAAATTTAAACCCATACATGTAAATATTTTTACGTCCCCCCTATTAAAATATTGATTGCGTTAATTAAAAAAACAAAAATCTATCAATAAATAAAAATCCTTTTCATACAATAAAATCAAAACTTATAAACATTTCATTCTTAGTAATGCAACTTATCAACACGTGTTAATGCATAAATCAATGTATAAGGCCCTTAAAATTTCATTAATGGAGTTGACATCAGAAATTCATATTTTATAAAGTAAATAAAATTATACTATCTCATTTTTAAGGATATTTTAGAACTAAATTTGGGTCTAAAATAAATGCTAACCACTAAAAGTAAAAAATAATTTCTTTATTCTGTGTGGATTTTTAACATACATTATAATATAAAGTTTTCTTTCTTGTTGTTGTTATATTGTATTCTATCGTGAGTAATCAGTAAAGGGGACAGCATACTTCTTGCATGACTTCTTTCTTTTCCTGTGTTCTTTTAATCTTCTTCCATGGTTGTGCGTTTTTTGTTTGTTCCTTGTCCATTCTTCGTTTAGGTGTACTTCTTTCGGGTTTTGTAGATTGACCTGGTTTATGTTTGGTACTTCTTTTCCTGGCTTCATACAACTCTCCTTTGATATATGAAGTAAACACAAATTTTACATTTTATTATTGGGAATACTTCATATATTTAATTACTTATATCACAACATTAGGAGATAAGCATCATTGGGAAATAAATATATCAACAAAAGTCCTGGCCCACATTAACTTAAACATGCTTCATTTCTATAGAAGCAGATAATATAATAAGATAAAATTGATGTTTTCCTCCTTACTGATATGCTCAAAATGGAACACGCATTATTTATCCTTTGCAAATCTAAAACTCTTAAATTGACTCTACCATCTTTCAATCCGGACGACACAAATGAATTTTTTTCTGGAAAATTTTCATTTATTTATTGACTGAATAGTGAACAGTAAAGAAAGTAATCAGACAACACAGATGTAACGGCTGAGTTAAGTCTGCACCGATTTATTTTTACCAACAGTCTAAAGATAATTTTAAGATAGAAAAATATATCTTTTAGCTATCTAAATAATAGATACTCACGCACCTTTGACTTGAAGCTCAAACTCATTTTTATCGGAGATAACTAAGTCGACGTTTAGTAGCAAAAATGAGCTAATGATGCGTTGACTTTGTTTTTCTAATTGTTTTGCCAGGAAATTAGCATACAAAGTTGGAATCATGAGTGTTAAGATAGTGCTGTTTGTTGCTTGTATGCCACTGATGATCACTTCCTGTATAGGACAAAGCAGTAGCCTGGATACTTCACTCCGAAACCTTTCCAGCTGGCCAGTCTCTGAAATCCCTTTACCTTTTATATGAAACTGAACTAGAGTAAATCTGTCATCTAAAATATAAAATTTGATCAGAAAGATAAGATCGGTGTATTAATCCATGATGATAACAAACATAACAGAAAATAAATGAAGTGATGTTTTATATAAAGACTGTTTTGGAAGCCACTTTACAAAAAATAGTGTGCTTTTTAGAAGTTCATTCAGAATCATTCCTTAATAAAATTTATTCTTATTCGTTGAGAACACGCAAACAAATGGGCATATTCAATATATTATATTATATATAATTATACTGATTATTGTCGTCTTCTGGACAAAATGCAGAACTGTATCCTCCTCAAACATTTGTGCATATTTTAGCAATTTTTCAGAACACGAACAATTTGCTGGATATACAGTATGTTGTATTTATTTATGAATCCCATGTCTCTCAGAGAGACAAACATTTCTCTTGGAGTCCGTACATGTTGCACATCTGAAATAAGAACAAAATTAACTTAAAATGCTGTTGCTGCAAATGAACATTTTCTAATTATTTTGTACTGATTGTTTTTATTGGCCTTTATCATGTTAATTGGAGTTTTTTAGCTTACAAATTAAATTAAGTAAATGTTCAAAAATGGTAATATGACGAAGTTATTCAATGATAAATAACATAACTAGTCTAACTATCCTTAGCATGTATTTGGTTGGTCTGAAGGCCGTGTGACCATAACATCTTCATTTAATTTGACAACTTACCTTCAAAGCGTTGTTTGAGATTGTCCAGTTCCTGTTCTGATATTGCTTGAGAGAGGTCGGCGGTAAGATTATCGAATACATAACTTCCTGAAGGTGGCTGGAACCCATATGGCAATGTGTTAGAACCTGATGCCATAGCTAAATGTTATGTAACAGAAAACATTGACGAAAATATGCCAAAATGTATTATTCTTAAGATAGATTGACATGAATAGACTAAATAAAAGAAGTATAAAATGATGTGAAATAAATGGTTTAGAGTACATAATAAGTAAAGTTTCGTTCGTGTGTTTGCCGGAAAATTCTGAAGATGATATAACTAGATATGCGTATTTTAAAATGTTAACCATAAATTCAATTAAATGATTAGTCACTATCAGTCATAATTAGTCATTGATACATTCATTTTAATCCTGTTTGTTTTATAAAAACATAATTAACTTTTAATTAAGTCCATTCACTGTTTTATTTGGTTGCTAAACAACTTCCCTGCATATCAAAATAATAAATAAGCAAATTCAAACATTATGTAAAACACTTATTAAATGCCAGGTATTAAGATTTTAATATTGCTTAGAAATACAGACTTAATTTCCCCTTAAGCGAATATAAATAAACAAATAAAGAAATTTTTGTTTGTAACTGTACGTATTAAATCATGCATAAAATAAATTGAATAAAAATAAAACAACTTTCATTTAATAAACCAATATCAAATACTTTTCAAAAACATTTTTATCAAGTATTAAAAAAAACTATGTAATAATCTGAAGGTTTTACCTCCGGTCGAAGCTGTGTCGTTATGTTTTCTTACCTACTCCCAAAACATTATATACGTTCACATTTTATGGCCTAATTACAATGTAGGATAAAAAAATGTCAAGTCATTTATCTATCTACAATATATATATATATATATATATATATATATATATATATATATATATATATATATATATATATATATATATATATATATTGTATATATATATAAATTGATTGCTGATTTCATTTCTTAAAAGAAAATGAATCATACAATTTGCGGTCCTTAATAATTTTCAAACTGAAATATTATTTGGTTGTGTAGCAGAATTCTGCACACATAGATTTAAAACGAAATATTTGCCAAGAGGCTTGACCAATAGAACCATAATACAAATAGCATTTAAGTTCATCAAAAGATGAATGTATCAACTGGAAAATGGTTAACTTTGCATTTTCTTAAGAGAATAAATGATTTTTACAAGATAAAACATTCTTGAATAAACAGTGCGCAGGCTGGTATATATTAATAGAGAAGGAAGCAAGCGTAACGAATATATTCTCGTGACCACGTGCCGTTTTAATATGCTCAATGCAGTGACAGACATGATAGTTTTATGATGAAAACATAACCATCAAAGACATCGCACTAGCACGTGGAAAGCATGGCACACGCAATGTTTTTATAACTTGTCAAGGAATATCAATTAGACTGTATACTTTTATTCATGCAATTTCATTTCGTGCATTCACATCTGCAGAGCCCTCAAACTAATATAAATCCCTGGTTCTGCGGGCTTGGGATTTATGTGCGCCCTCGTTGCTTCTGCAGATGTTCATGCTAGATAAAAGTTTGAAGGTACATTAACCTTATACTGTTAGGAACATAGTTATTATTTCAAAAGAATGCGCTTATTAATACCTTTTAACACTTTTATGTAAAAATAAACATATTATACTATATAAATAAACTTGTTTGTTTCAGTAAGGTAGTTTAAATATCATTTAAGAGAAATTTGTACGCGTTTTGTGTATTGTATCCGAATTGAAACATTGCAAAGTTAAAACTGGTGTTAAATCAAAGAAGCTGGACGGGTTCTAAAACTGCGAAGATGTTATTAGGAACACAAGTGACTATTTATATCTGTACCTTTCGACCTTTACATTATAGCATTTTATAAATTAATAAGACATCGCTCGAATGTTTGTAGACCTGTACAATAAATGTTTTGTAAAAACGAAAAATAATAAATTTGTGTGTGTACAGCAATATACATATGGTTTTACGTGTTCAAAGAGTGTGAGTACTCTAAAATAAAATAAACTTTTCAGAAAATTGACGATACTGAATAAATGAATTTTAAAAGTGGATCAAATGTTTGTAAGCCATTTTAATATATTTTTTTTCTTAAAAGAAGATAATCTGCAAAAATATAATTTATATACCACTAGCTAAGGCACAGAGGCTACAACACAATTTAACACTTACAAATTTCACTTAAATCATTTTTTAATTGTTTTTCAAGTCAGATTCAACTAAAATTATTTATTCGTATGTTAAAACGAACGTCTTAATAAGGAAGCTACGTTTAACCCTATTGAAGAGTATATCTAATATTTCACAGTCATTTTGATTAATTGTCAAGTGTTGAACAAATATTCTCTACTTAAATTTGCATTTTATCATGATTTAGGTATGCACGTAACTAACATGCAGGCGATACAATCTATATTCACTGCTTACTAGATACTAATACTTGTCTAAAAAAAGATTATTCAAAATAATAACGTCATGTTTCGTTTTGAGTAGATAGTGTTAACGCTTTGTATATCAAATCAAAGACGGTCGATAGCCCGCACTTTGTCTATAGCCCGCAGATTTTACTGCCAACCTCTTTACAGGAGGTTTACTGAACCCCATTTCATTGGCTGCATTTTCACTGAACATATTCATCCTAGTGGTATTTGTCACAGTTACAAAATACAACAACTATTTCATTTATTTCTATTAAAATTACAAGATAAATATTTGTATTTCTGAGTGAAATTGTTATTAATAATCTGCGTTGTTAAGACGTGTATCTTATACTCTGCATAAATATAAACGTTTCGTAATAACACAGATATTTCAAAAGCGCACGCAGGTGAACTTTACTAAAGAAAATACCACACGCAAGTTAGGTAAGAAGTACGTTATTATAATTCAGAAAATAAAGAAACTCCCACACACTTAGTAAAGGTAATGACGAACTGTACATCGTTTGTAAATAATAATAAAAATAAAAACACAAACAAACTAGAAACAATGTACTTTGAAATCTTTGAACAACTGTTAAAGAAATATATCATTCTTGGACCTTAAGGATTTATTTATATATGAGATAAAAACCAAACCAACACATTCATGACGTTGGGCACACATACAACATAAATTGATATTTTGAAAAGACAATTTACAATAAATCATTTTTTTAAAGATAAAGATGCAACGGTTTTCTATTATCCGTCATGAACTCGAGTCTGCATTCTTCATGTATTTTTATTTTATCTTCATTGCCTCCGAGGATCTCATATTTTCCAAATTCTTTATGTTAGTTTTAATCTGATTATTTTTTCTCCTTTTAACTATGCATATTGTAACATCAAACTGTGCGTCAATGGATTGATGATAATCATAAATGATAGTCACTACTCTGAAACCTTATGTCTAGTCCTTAGGAATCATTGATTCACGTTAGTGTTTAAGCTATCTAGGGGATTCAGCACGTAAGTTTTACAGATTGAATACCACTAGAGCTGGTGCTAGATGAGTGAAAGATGTTGCATAGTACATTATCTCGCAGGAATAGACTCAATCAAACAGAGTCTGCAATGTTTATGTAATATTGTCGAGGGATCAGCGCTTTTCCAGATTTCTATATTTTATATTAATTTGAAAGAACAATGAAAGGTTAGTTGTTATAAAATTTGTTTTTGATACACGGCATACCGAATCATATAGAAGTATCTAAAATGTGTTTTTTCTGACATTAAGTTATTTGATTTTCTGTTTAGATCCTGTTTTGTGTTTTATTCATTATCTGTACAAGTTATGTAGATTTTGTTTAACTGTCGGTTTCATCTTTATCACTTATGTCTGAAATATATGTTTCTTTTGTATCCTGCATTACACAGTGTGTGTTTGATGTAATAATAGAAATATAAATAGTGAGATTTATGACACTACAGTTATACTGCTATTGTTGAAATCTTATCTTTAATATCGGCTATTTAGTGGGCCTATTAATCAATCATTTATTTGTTTTCTTTTATTTTGATTTCCTTGTCGGTTACTATTCTTTCTTATGTATCATTTTAGTGATTAGCCTCGCGCCCTGTCTGCGGCCCTCCTGGCTCCGTGCCACTGGTTCTTGTTGCTTGGTCGTGTGGGTGTGTTGCGTTCATTGAACGCCGCCTTTCCTTGTTGATATTGTTTATCATATTTTACATATGAAACACAACTTCTAATGGAAATAATGTAACGTTGTTCGTTATGAGACGGGAATGATGCAAAGTATGTGTGAAATCCAATATGTCTGTAACCCCCTCAATAAAACCTCTGTAGCCAGAAGATAGGCTTACGACTGATCTGTTTCAATATAATGTCACATGATTGGTCACAAAATTATGTAGCTAAAACTATCACAGGCTCGTCTTGATATGGCTATCCATAGACGGAAGTAATAATGAATGCGACTGGCAATGCTCACTAACGCAGTGAAAGCGGAATTTACCCTTATATATATACAATGTCAATTCCGAATTCCGGAACTTTTAAAATCCGGATACTTCTGAAATCCGAAAAATTGTCATGGTCCAAAACTTTCTTATTATGTTTTCTGTTATTCATACCTCTTAATTGCGAAACTTCTAAATTCAGAATTCCGAATAATTTCCTGGTAAAATTTAGGTTATACACGTATCAGGTAAAATTTACTGCCCAAAACCGGAATTGAAAATGGTGTGAAAGATAAGCTGTATTATATGTGAGATTATATAACCTGCAAAATATCAGTATCTACCAATTATTTTGGACTATTTATTTTGACACCTATTACAATTACAACCTGTGAAGCCCTTAATTAAAAATAACAGAGATGCACTTTGTGAAGAAAAGAAAAAGATTACAGGCTAAAAGCTGGTACAACAGAAGCATGCTTACGGATAAATTGTAATTATTAGCATTATGTTATTGAATCAAAGTCAACAAAGTCAATAATAGGTAATAAAATTTGATAAACTCTTTAAGAATCCTCAAATTCTGCTATTTTTCAGCTTACTGTGTTCTTCATTATGTCTTACGTTTCAATTAATTTAGGTGTTCGCCTTGGTTGTATATATAGAGCCATCCATAAATACTTTAAACCTCTTGTAAAATTGCATAATGCACTATTAAAAAAAATAGGTTATCTAATTATAATCATATACACATTAAGCATGAATGAAATACTGGCATATTCTAAATAAGCATATAACGAAGTTACAAAAGAATATTTGCGCAAGATTATAGTTATTCATTTCAAGAACTTGCATGTTGTCAGGGGTACTTTGTTCTTAATGGTGTACTGAACATGTTTGAAGTGGCTGAAGTCTGATAACTGAAGCAATCATCATAAACACTCCATTACATGCCCCTGCATTCATTGAGTGACAACATTGATCCTCTGACACAGTGCACCACCATGCTGGTTCTATTACTTGTTAATCTGTTCTAACAAATGTGCTTACGGAATAGTATTGACCCTCAAATTATCAGTGAACACCATGCCATGCAGTCTTCCAGATACATTTTGCAGTATACTAGTTGCTCTGTACAACACTACATCAACACGTTGTTATGTATATAGGCTTTATTATTAATGCTTTTGGTATCTTTTTCCTGAACATGTCAGTAGGCAGAGCACAGGATTGATATAATCGAGGTCGTGGGCTCAATACCTACTCTTGCTTCAATTATTTTGTTTATTTGATGTTTATATAATTTTTCATGTTCATTTATCTTCATTCAAGAAAGGTCTTTTCATGTTCATTCTGGACTATTCTTTCTCTAAGTAGTTTACTATTCTAGATTTTT